TATGTGATCTTGCTGTGCCAAAAGTAAAGGATTAAGTGTAGAAGTTGTAACTGGAAGGATTTAAAGATACATTACGCGAATTTCTATCTAAATAGTATGTAATCAATATTTCACTAATGCCCAAATCACTTATACTTTAAAATAGTGTACTTATTTAGATAAAAAACTGTTTAAATACACTAAAAATATAGAGACGGACAATAAAGAAATCAAATAAAGACTTTAATCTTAATAGAGATTTTTTCAAAACTAAGAAAAAATTGTCTCGATTTTTTCCAAAATGCTATTTTCTATTACGGACGTGTGCGAGTTCGAGTCGGTATGGCAGCAAATGTTGATATTTACCAGAATTTCGAGTCGGGTACATTAGATAAAAATTAGGTATTATCACTGTAAAAAATTTATAAGATTTAATAAATAAATTATAATAAATAAATTTGAACTCTTTTAACCAAAAATAATAAATAAGTGCAATAAATAAATAATAATAAATAAAGTGCAATAAGTCCCTAGGAAATTTTAATTAACTTCACCTCGCACACGGCCTACATTAATTTATCAATTTTATTATATTTAAAATATTCGCATAGAATATGAAACAAAATACATACTTAATCCAATGTTTACAGTATCTCCAAGGATTAATGAACTACTAACCTACTTACTAATGAACTATGTTAATATTCACCTGAATTTCCTGTCTCTAATCAATATATTGATAGACATTGCTTTCTTAAATTAATTTTGATAATAACATTAATAACTTGGAGCATAAAAATAATTAGTCCTAATATGCTGTTGAAATTTCAGAATCGATACTTTTGTGTTCAGTTCTTGAGGCGCAGTCAATGTCTGCTTTATTATATGTGGGAACAATAAATATTTAAAAATGGAAAACTTAAAAAAAAAATTCAGTTTTGAAAGAGCATTTGAAGTGTACTTAAAATTTTTTGATGTGACAACTTTTATTTTGGGTGTAAAGTCATTGAAAAGTCAAAGAAAAAGATTTAATACAACTTTTTATATAATATACGGTATTTATAGTGCGCTTCTGTGTGTGGGATGCCGTTATTTTATTTTTATATGGATTATCTCATCCTTTAAGATAATTTTCAAAAACTCTTCATTAAAATCATTATTGGACCAACAGGACGAGTTCATGATTATAATGCGCTGTACTCTACTGATTTTATCCGTTAACATCTTAATTTATATTCTTAACACCAAGCTTCCGAAGTGGAACGGTATTTTCGGTATTTTACAGCTCATAAATATTTTAAAAATGATGACTTTGAAGTACAATTGCGAAAATAAAATAGCAAAAAAGTATATATTTTACTTGATCGTAAGGTTTATATTGAATATATATTTAATTTTGATGTGCAAACGACAAGTTACTTATAAAACCAATATCTTCAAAATATTTCTGCCGTTCTACACCATCGTATATGAATTATTATTTCATTTAATATTTTTTTGCTTTACTTCAATTCTGATTTTCTACAAAAATTTAAACCTAATTTTGCAGAAAAAGAAGGTTTATACTGTTGAGGGCACAAAGTTTATGCACTTACTGTCGATCGAGAATCAAATGAGAAAACTATATACACGCTTTTGGAAACAAGTAATGCAAGTGTTTCAATTTTGTGTTCTATTACGACTGCTGATGTGTACTTATGATATCTATGTGACATTCTATTGCTTTTATGCCGTAGCTCACAGTTCGAGCCATCGAAACATTAAGCACTTCTGGTATTCCGCACCATTTCTCTTAAATCACTCGGTAGAAATGATTATTATTGCAATGTGGAAGGATATACTCGAAGAGGAACAGACACTTTTTGAAAGTAATTTAATTTTAATGAATGAAATCAAAAAAGAGACATACAAATGCAACAATTCAAACGAGCAGGTAAAAATTTTCAAATCGGTAATAAATTTTGTTAAAATTTCCTTGCGGGAAATTTATTTTTAAGAATTGCATTCGACATTTTTTGCCTTAAATGCGCAGATTTATATTAAAGATTTTGGTATGGTACATCGTCCTCATTAGTGGTTATAATGAGCTAAACCGCCTGAGACACTGTGAATGTGCTATTACTTAACTAAATCATGTAAAACTTTTTGAGCTAAATGTTCGATAACGAACAATTGAATGCAAAGAAATGAAATAAATACAAAATTTTAAGAAATAAATATAGCTTGATAAAATCAATGAAATGGAAACTATTTTTTTTTGAAACACAGAGCAAATTAAGAGTATCTTACGTTACGCTTCTGGTTTTATTACAGCGCGTACGGGATTATAACGTACAGCGTTCATTTATATCGTAAAGTGGGGAAATTAAATTTGTATATGGCTTCCAAACCAGTCAATTTCGTAATTATATGCATTAATGTATTTATACAACACAAACAGCACAAACGATAAAATAAATCATTGATACCAAAAAATAAATTAATTTAGAAGACATTATTATTATAAAAAATTAATAAATTTGATATAATATTCTCTACTCTTCCAGATAAAGCTCTCATTAATATTCGCAAAAACTCATACAATTTTTATTTCATCATCATTTGATATCTGCAATATAAAGCGAATTACATACCTGGATTTTATAGCAGCCGCTGTTGAATTTACAATACCATTGATGCAACTTTACATTAGCGAAACTAAATGGAACCATTACCCCAAACAATGTTTTGTGCCTTCACCAACTTAATGAATTTTTTATTAAAAATCGTCGTAGTTTTTAGGATATTAAATTAATTTGAAAATAATACACACTATTTGAATTATTTGTAAATCAAGATGAGTTGACAACAACAACAGTTGGTTTGGAATGTATAAGTGGAATAATAGCAAAAATCGTTCACTCTTTAGAAAAAATCTCCACCATTTACATACATATTTGTATCTAGTTAATTTGTATTTTGTTTGTTTAAACTTAAACCTATCAAACCGCTATAGCATACTTTTTAAGGCTTTTTTGTTTAAATATGTTCCATAATGCTGCATATATATCAATTTAAGTATATTAGTTTAAACATAACATCAAACTTTTTTGTCAATATCCCACTCACTCATTATAATATTTTATACATATAGTAATACATATTTTATATAAGTAAATAAATTTTAAACTGTGTGGAACTTTCAGTTGAAAATCAAGAACTTTCTATATTGTATAATATATGTGTAATTATGCACGTTACTAAACTTAAAGTTTTAAATTTTAAAATACACTAATTAACCCAGTAAAAATTTATGTTGCTTTTATTAATACATACATATTAATTAAACATAAATAATAGAGTAAAAATAATAATAATAATTTATTGAAAATTATAAAAGATCTAACACACTCTGTCTGCATAAATGTCAGCTGTCAAACAGAAAACGAGTCTCGAAACAGGCTAGCCAACTTCAAAAAAATGTACTCTGTCCGTCTTCCTTTTCTACAAAGTTTGTGTCTGCTTAAAGACGTGTTGAAATACTTTTTAAGTGTTTTCACAGGTAATTTTAGTAAAACAAATAGTTTTCCAACAAGTATTAATGTACTGAGTGTTATTTCGAAAAGAAATTTTCAAATATCTTCAAAAATGCACAAAGAAAATATTTAAATACAGTGCACACGTGCAGTATCGTAGATTAATGTCGGTTTATCTGTCAAAATGAGCAAAGAACGCTAGTCTTGTGAGGTTATGTGTTTTCTGAGCAACTACAATACTTAATACTTGTTTTAATATCCGTATATAATATAAAATAATAATTTATTATTTCTAGTACTGGAACGAATATGTCTACAACCGCCACAATTCGTACACGCAAATTCATGACCAACAGCCTGTTGGCAAGAAAGCAAATGGTTTGCGATGTTTTGCACCCAGGCCTTTCATCGGTAAACAAAAAAGATATTCGTGAAAAACTTGCAGCCATGTACAAAGTAACTCCAGATGTTTGCTTTGTTTTTGGTTTCCGTACAAATTTCGGTGGTGGCCGTTCTACAGGTTTTGCTCTAATCTACGATACGTTGGATTATGCTAAGAAATTCGAACCTAAATACCGTTTAGCACGTCATGGTCTCTTTGAACAAAAGAAACAGACACGTAAACAACGTAAGGAACGTCGTAACAGAATGAAGAAAGTCCGCGGTACAGCTAAGGCTAAGATTGGTCAATCCAAGAAATAAATTAATTAAATATTTCACGAATTCAACGCGATTTATTCCAGAAATCACATTGCTCTTGTTTTACATTATATGAAAATGTGTGTAAAAGTGCTTTTAATTATGGAATAATATCCGCGTATATAACATCAATGAAACGTTTGTGTTTATAAAACTAAGAAAATAAAACAAAAATTTAAATATAATTTTTTTTAATTACATTTGTGTTTAGATTTTGTTCAAAAGGTTTTAAATTGGTCTCTATTTATCTTTGGCAACAAATAATATAAAAGTAAACAATTCCAATATATGCAGTATATCTATAGTGATATAACTATTTATAATAGAAATAAAATTTAAAGAAATATTTAAAATCATCAATGTGAACGGTAATATCAAACTGAGAAGGATATCTACTTTTATTATACTTAATACTTGCAACTTCAACTGAATTTATAAAATATTTGAGAGTGCTTCATTCAGAAACAATAAAGTTGTTTAAATGTTATTCCATTGAATGTTGAGATTGAATAGATATTAGCGCATTAACAACTTATATTTATAATACTTAATTAAAATCAAATAATAACTGAATTATAAAATTTGATTTTTGTTTGTTTGGATGATACGGAAATGAATAATTAGCACTTGGGCAAACACATATATGCAATTAATTAAATAACTAATCATTTTAGCAAAGTAGCTATAGAGCTAGGTAGGA